TGTACGAGCGTTCAAGCAAAAGTGTACAAGTTTTAAGAGAGTTTTGAGGATGGTGCAAAGCCCAAGTATAATGAACATTACCCATGTAACAGACCAAACCGTTGTACGAGGGTTTTAGGATACGAAGAAGAGTGTTAGGAACAGACCTAACAGATGACTGATCACGTTGTACTGATGACCCTTCCCACAGTGCACTGTCGATCGGCACAGGCCGCGCGCGTGATGAGATCGCACAAGCCGCCCGGCAGGATTAGTGCTCTGCTCTACCAGTTGGATGAGCTGGAAAAGCCAGTCGGCACGGAACCTCTCAAGGTCACAATCTGATTGGTCCGACTGCCCCCGCTTGTAAATCCTCTGTTTGCCTTAAATACCCTGCATTAAGTAAGTAAGGAGACTCACAATTGTGCGCCCTTGTTCTTCCTTGGGTATTCAAACAAGGCGTAATTGGACCATGGCCCCTCGGCTTTGGTAGCATTACAACAAAGAGAAGCTGGCAAGCATCGCAATACTGAGCTTTGAGCAATCAATGGTAAGGCGCATTCGGTAGATTAGTTTCTGTTACTTTATACATTTTCCTATCTCAATGGTCGAAAATATGCGAGGCCCAGGAAATTGAATAGAAGGCGGAAGAAAGTTCTCCAATCTTTGATCAAGGTCTCTATGGTTTTCGAGCTGCTAAAATAGTAGTAGGCTAATACAAGTCTTCAAATCCCGTAGTTAGACAGCGCTGGCGGATAGGGAAATATGTTTTTCCATCCAGGAACTGTTAAGTGTTCATATTTTAAGGGCGTGTTTATTTATCTTACATATTTTGAGCGGAAAACTCACATTTTCGGCAGCTTTTAAAAAGGAAACCAGCACACCATTTGATTAAGGAATATGGGTCAGTCAAAAACGCAGAATTATTACGATTATATTGTTAGTGGTTAAATCTATAGTTTCTCAAAAAAAACTGTATTTATAAACAAACGATGAAGGCCCTTCACACAAACCGTAGATGTGCCAAATTTACGAATCACTTAGGCCTGCGTTTTGGTGCAAAATACGTCCTTCTGGTTGGTGGCTCCTGAGACATTCAAGGTTTCAACTTCTCGTTCATCATTGGCTGATGGATACGTGCATACATTATGATCAGAATAGACTGTAAATACAGTGTGCGTGCCAATTGCTCGCCGAAGTTGTTTTAGCACGAGAACGTACATCAGACATGCAAGGGGCTGGTGCCGTCGGTAGAACACGTCAGAAAACGTAAGTGATGCTTTCATCCTCAAGTATTTTCAGTCACTTGGATGACCTACATGCATTGAAAAATTATTTAGCA